ATTACGGAGTCAGACTTTCTTGCACTGCATCACGATTTTACATCCGTTCTCTTTACGATTATCATGGAATTCTCGTATACGTTAAATGCTTCACGAAGAGTGCATATATCTTGTGGTTAACAAGAAGGTGGGCATGACGTTTCATCATTTTACTGAGCCGCCGTTCGCTACGCCACTGTGCGCGCATAAACGTTTTCACGGAGCCCAGGCGGGACCTTTGAGGCCGCCCCACTCCTCGGTTAACATCAAGATGGGCCTGTCAGGCCCTAACTAGCTAAGGTCGGACTCGAGCCGGACTCACACGAGCGAAACACCGCCTCCGGCGCAGGATTGTCGGACCGCGTACCGGTATCGTGTTTTGACACGGACTCCTGACGGATGATGCTCGCGCAGATCATTGCGGTTTGACGTTTCCCTGATTGAGCACGGCATTAATTCAACGAGGAGTTTTCTCTTCTTATGCAAATTCCATCGGGTAGAAAGTTAACCGAGCCGCACCGCGACGTATAATCCTTAATGCCGTTATTAATAAAAGTTATTATCGCCTTCGACGTAGTGTATTTTTACAGCTGCGCGCGCGCGCTCTTTTTACGGCGGTTGAAATTTACTGCGAAACTGAACGACGTCTCGAAGAGGATAAAATGTCCTGGCATAAATATTTCAACATGCACGGGGTAATGTCTCAAGCGGATTGCAAGTACGATTCGCAGCTGTTGCGCGGTCGCAATTAATTACAAGGGTAATAAATTAATTACGGAGCACTCGAGATACTGCCGTAATCTCGTCGTTTTAACGCTTAACGCGAACAATACTGCGAGCAACTGTTATTCAGCGGTCGTAATTGAAAATTACAATCGAGGAAAGTTACTGCCGGACATAAACAGGCCTCGTTAACAGCCAATTAAAAGATAAGGCTAATTTTTGTTTAATTAACAGAATGTATCACCCGTGACTCGCGGCTCGTTCATCATTTTTACGCGTCCATTGCAATAATCCACATGCAAAACGATAGACGACAGTAATAAACTCGTCCCTTAGAAGAGCGAGAAATTAAAGGTATAGGAATGTAAAACGTACCACCGGTGGAATTCCAAGTTATCTTATCCGAAGCGGATGCTACACGATACCAAAGTGGTAGCTAACTCGTACTACCATAATAGTCCAAGATAGCTCCAAAAATTCAGATTCGTGTGGCTTCTCCGAAAAACAACGAAAAAGAAATCCGAAGCCAAAAAAATATTATTATGCAATACGAGATTAAATTCGAAAATAAAGTAGTTATAATTACCAACAAATTACAGTAATTATATATTCTGTAATAAAACACGTAAGATAATTTCACAGCAATTTGATCTACCATTGCGATGTTTCCATAACGCTAATATAATATAAAAAATGCACAATCTCGAGAAAGGGATCTTTTGCCCATACTCACGCGCACATTTTTTCAGGGGCGTTAAGAGTCAACACATATCGCGTAAGTGGTTCTTACAAACACGCACCGTTGATGCTCGTGATATAAATTCAGCTTCAGACTCTCACGCGTACGCAACCCGTTCTTTTTAACGCCGCAAGACTTAATGAACGAAAACTGCTTTGAGAACGTACGAGCCGATAACCATAATTAATCACCGGTCAATATCTTCATCGGCACTCCTTCTCCATTATGAACGAGGAGCCAGCGAAGCGCGCGGACCGGCACCGATCGAGATCAATTTCTCGCGACGGTCGTATGCGCGCGAGGGTGTACGAGCGCTGGAAACTCTATAGTAAATACCGAAATTGGAAACCTCCTCGTTCCAGGAAGCAGCGGGTGCAGCACGAAAAAGCCGTGGGTCCATATGGAGAGCGACCCGAGCGGGGCCCACCGAAATCGGTATCAAGGGCCTGTATCTGAAGGGGCCTCGCTGCTCTCTCCAGTCACGCTGGCAACCGTGGCCGGGCTTGAAGCGAGAAAGCGACGAAAAAAAGCTGATAGAACCGGACGACCCGTACGGAAACAAGACGAAGAGAACCTACTGTCGATTATTCGGTGTCCAAACAAACTAGGTCCGGTCCTGTCGGGGCCTTGCCACCCCATGCTGTATTCGTATAACAAGAACCTCGTTATAATATTTTATTGCGTTCGCCCATTATACAATCCGTGTATCGTGACACTCGACGAATCTCGTTTCACCTTTTTAATATTTCTTTCCTTTTTGGTTTTGTTCCAACCTGCGTCTGGAGTCACCGTGAAACGGCGACAAAACATTCGTATAGATAAAAATACTGAGATAGAGAGGAACTAATGCGAGATTTTAAATCTGGCAGCTTTACAGTCATTGTAACGAGTCATAATTATTTTCCGGTTTTAATATAAATAGAAAGCAGATAACATACAAGGTTTTTAGTTATAAATTATGACACGGGATTAGATATTTTTCCACGACATGTTTAATTATTAGCAGATAATAAAGACGATTACTGGAAGAACGAGACTCTCATTATATACTTTCCAACATCGATGATACGTAAACAAGTTCGGTTTTTTATATTAAACAGGATTAACCACTTATTAGCATTGGCTATGTCACTTTAAGTCTGTACGTATCTACATTTGGCTGTTCAATTAATATTCCTTTTAACAAGGTAATGCTGGATTAGTACGTTTTTTTCCTGTCAGAACCTAATGTATGCCAGCGCGTAAACACAATAATTTTTCTCCAGCTTCGAACAATTCGCCATTAAACCCGAGTTTAACTAATGAAAGACTATAAACGGTGCTGGCGTGAGGCTTGTACACCGCGTCTACCAGCCAACCAATTCAATTCCTATTCATTCGGAGAAACGGCGCGTTGCTAATATGCACCGAATTTATAGACGCGATTAATAACGCCGTTCCTAAATAGCTTAACGCGCGATCCGATTCCTTTTCATTCGTGCGAACAGCCTCGGCGTTAAAACACAATTCGATTTCACACGAAGCTGTGGGCGCTGAACATGTTCGTGTAAAGAAGCTGGATTGAACAGATGCATGCCCGCGCGTAGTATGCGTGCGTACAGAACGACAGTGATGCGCGTGTCGTCGTCGACCGTGGAAACGAAGCGCAAAACGCGCGGGTTGAAAACGCGCAATACCACGCGCGAGCGCGTTTTTTTCTCCCGGGAAACGGGGAAATCGGTGAATCATGCGAATCGGGTGATTCGCGTTGCCTCAGGTGTCGCATGGGAACGCACCCCTTTTCGCAACGGTGTGGCTGCGTGCGGCTCGGCGCTTTTCGCGGATCAACGAACCGTGAGCGAATTATTCACAGCCGTGGAAATTATCGGGGAAATATTGGAAAGTTCCTTGGTGGCGCGTCGAGTGGCTTTTACCCGTTTCCGGTACAACGATCCCACCCCGCCGCGCCGGTGAACAGGCGAGCGATGATCTTTGTCTAACAGACGATTACAAATGAAATCTGGACGGGAACACGCGTGACGCCGCGCCGGGGTGCACCGAGAGGAAAAAAAGAAAATCGGGAGCGTGAGAATGGAACAAGTGATCGAGTATCGTTACACGGATTTGTCGGGGTTCGCCTCTGAAATTAACCACGTCGCCCATGAGATTTTAATGGGTCGTTGAACCAAACCCTCACGTTCTGAGTATATTCGTCTGATTGCCCGATCGTGTTTTGATTGCTTAGCTTAGACAATTGCGGTGTACGAGTATGTACTTCACAAATTGGTAGACTCCTCTCGTGTTTCAAGTGTCAGCATGTATATGTATATAGACAGTATTCTAATTTGAATATGTGAATATCGACGACTCTCAATTCAATCCATCATCGATATTTTTATTAAATGCTTAATATACAAAAATGAAATAAAAATTTATTCTACTACATCTTCCCAACGATTCTGCTGTGCAAAGGTTACTCTGAAAGATATATTCCCTTTTTTAATGTCTTTTCTAAGAAAACCGTTTGTCCAGAAGAAAGGACTAGCAGGGATCCACTCGGATACCTTGAGTTAATTTTACGCATAACATTTTTATATCCCGCAGACCTCGTGCATCGAGGCAGCACAGATAAATTATCATTAACCGTGGTATACAAAGATTTGTGGCACTTTTACCGTGTTATAAATTAGCTCTAGTTGACCTATAACATTTCGACGCACTATTAAGCGCATCGGCGATTGCTTGTATAACTGCACATAAGATTTCGTACAAGAAAGTACGCGTTTTAATCTTAGGTTCGACCGTATGAATGGTGCAACGTGATGATAATTATTCATTAGTCGAGTGAAATCTCGGCACGTACATAATGCGATGCCTTTGACGCCAGCTATTCTTCACTGTCCACTGCTCAATTATAATGCAACGCGCTAATCACGGCTACTTTAATGGCCATCTGATCGGTGTATACTTTAATGGATTTGTTATACTTTCAATACGCGCGCGGCGCACGAGATTCTTCCGTGAAAAACATCATAATTAAATTGAAATATAAATTCTTAACGTAATTAATCCTCATGTATAATCATACTTCCATCAATCATGTAAAATTAATATAAATGCGTAACTAGATCTTTTAATGACGCGATTTTCACAGAACTCACGGATGTTCCGTGACTATGCTCTACACATAAAAGATAATACTTATTGCCTTCGTACATTAATGACATAATTGTTTAATTGCGGTTGTTATAAATGGAATTACGAGGCATTCCTACCGGTAGTGTTTGCTAATTACACAAGTTTACAATTCTTATAAGATGTACCTGTGGTGATATCGGCAGAGCCAGAATATCATTCATGTGATAAATAAAGAATTACTGAATTGATTCTTATAAGACAGTACATTCGTAGAATAGTAAGATCTTTGCAGATCAGAGACGAATCATTGTTTAGGCGTTCAAATGCATATCAGCTGGTATGTGCGCAGGTACAAAAGGGTTCGAACATATTCAAGGATAAATCCACTACCCTTACAGAATTGTGAAGGCAAGCGTGAACGAATTCCATTAAATTTACTTACCCATTAGTTTCCGCACTTCTGCCTGGCTGAGAAAAAGGTTGAAGTAGCTTGCACCTGGCCGTACGAGCACGAACAGCAACACTGCCAATTTTAGGAGCATCGTGTCCACCACGTGCTTAACCGCTGGTACGAAGCCTGGTAGCCGCAGACGCGTGTTACGTTGTGCTGTAAACAGTGTTAAAGTCTTCTAACCCGGCTCATGGTCCACGACGAGGTGCTCATAAATCGATGCCGATTTCACGGATGCTGGTGCACGTGACAGTTCCTTGTTCAGTCGCGTTCTTCACGACCGGTTCGAGATACCCGGCCACGAATCCCGATAATACCGCACTTCTCCCGACTTAATTAGATTTTTGACAGTTCGAACGGAGAACTCCCTTTCCTTGAATCGCGTCACGACACTCGATCGAATGTAGGCGCATCGACAGGGTCTCCTCGTTCTAAGCAAGAGAGAAAACGGTTGCGGGAATCGAAATTCGTAGAACGGAGCGAGAATGCACTCGTGCAGCGGAGGAGCGCGGCCGACGTTCTTGCCTCGTGAAAGCCACAACCAGTTGTGTGCTCCGACCGCCATGGGTCGACCGAGGTCGACGCAAGCTCCACGAACTCAAACCGAGACTGGCCGATTCCGGCCGAGCTCGGCCGAGGTCCACCCACGAGAAAGGTTTCTCGTTCTAGCTTTATGCCCCGCGAAAAGGATGCCCTCAGCCTTTCGACGCTCTGCGCTGGCACGACCGACGCCCGAATTAAAACCGCGATTCGAACACAATGACGATGAACGATCGCCAGGGTTTTTTCTGAAACCGTTGAAACTTGTCATCTACGTTATTGTTCGATTCACGATGGACTTTTACATCAGTTTAGTTAAAGAATGAAGGAAACCGACGCGCGGAGCTTGTAAAGCGCGCGATTTTGTTTTATGCGCCCATTACTTGTTGCATTTCCCACTCCCCTGCAGTTGCATTTGAATTTTGAATAATTGGCAATTTCAAGAATGTAATGATTCGTTTAGCAAGGTAACAGCGAATAACTCAATTGTGTTAGATTAAATGGAGCACGATAGGATCAATACCAAACGAATAACCAATATTTATAATACTGAATAATTATGGTAGATTTTGTGGAATGTTACATATTTATGATTGATAGAGCTTATAGAGGATATCTTGTTAGTTTTTTGAGAAAGTAGAAGCGAAACTCGTAATTCAGAAGTAGCGCGCTTAAATAATAATTTACTTCTTGATTTTAAAATACATTGTAACTTGTCATGTTTGACGTTTAAGAATACATTGTCGCTTTTCAGAAGAAAGATAAGAATTTTGTTCACCTTATTTCATACACTCGTCGCACAATCTATAAATGTAAATAATTGCGTGTCAAATCTGTGTACATTTTACATCAAATATGTACTACAAATGATGGAATATCAGATTTACTATACAATTTCTTACAATTATTTTATAGAAGATATTAATGAAACCAAACTGAAATTCGTTTGTATAATATTACAACTTGCAATGTTTGATAACTGAATGATCGGTTTCGCGAAACTTAAATTGCGGTATCAAGCCTCCCGGAATTTAATCGAGGTAGACTCGTCCGTAATTTCTGCGTTCGTTATTTACATAATCCGAGATCAACAATGGATAGCGAGAACGCCCACGTAGCCGTTTACGAATCAGGATCCTCTTTCGTTCTTTTTCCTCCTTGCCTGTCGGGATACGCCTGATTACTGAACGTCATTATTACAGGCCGAATGACGAGGTCGGACAAAAAATTCTGCTGTAAAAGCGAAACGAAGATCGAGCAAATGAGACGAAAAAGTAAGAAGCAACACAAGAATAGAAGATTCGTCGTTGATTGAAATGTTTGTCAAATATACTAGTTATTATTTATTTTTTGAATACAAGAATTCTAATGTTTCCCAGGAAATTTCTATGTACGCAAGAAGCATTTCTTGATTATTTATATATAACTCTATGATATATTTCCGTGTATATAACTATAGCTATTTATTATTATTATTATTGTGAAGAATGCGAACTTGTTCAGTTTTCCCTACTCTTTTACTTTTTGCCCTTTACCATAGGTACTCATCATGTTACCATTAACATAATCTCAACGGTTATCAAATTAAATTCGTCGTTATCTTATGTTTTATCACTATTTCTCGAGGGGCCCCATGTGTACAACTTCGATAGTACGACCAGTTATCGATTCATATCTTGTAACTGTTCGTAAGTTATCGCCTGTACAGATAAAATAAATTTTTAAGTGTACATAAATGGAATAAAATTACAAATAATAGAACATTTCGCTCCTACGACTAGCGCAATTGTTTCTTCTCCTAAATACAATAAACCAAGTTCAAGATAAGACGAGAACATATAATAAAATATCATTGCAATGTAAACAATGTCACGCGATAGCGCATTATAGCAAGTCTGGATTTGATATAAAGATATATTTAAATCATCGGAATTTATATGCGATTCAAAAGTCACGAGCGTATGTCCGCAAGGGAGGATCATAAGAATTTTTACAACGATTATCTTCATAGCTGCTCCCGTCGTGAATACAATGTACAATATAAAGCACTGTGATACACCGTATTGCGGTGGTAGATATCGCGGGAGGGCTGCGGTGCGCCACGAAGCTCCATTTAATCTAGAGCAAATACGGGGAGCTTCGCTTAAATCAAGGCAGAGTTAAGAAGAGAGAACAGTCACCTTTGTCGGCTCCAATCTGAACAAACAGCCATATACTACGTGTCAACCAGGTTCTTGTTTTATCCAGAATTATCCCAACGGTAGCTACTGTGAGACCCAAAATATCTTTCTACTTCAGATTTAGGGGATATTTAACAATAGTAAAATATATCGATAATCAAGAATGATCTTTTTATTGAATTTTTAAACTGAGCAAGTGTGTAAATGGTCTCCAGAATAAAATATACTGCTAAATGAACGCAGAATTCCTGTTATCAATACAAATAAATTCTTTGGATTTTTACGTTCATGCATTTGAATATTCTGATCCAGTCTAGGAATATTTTACTGATCTACGGTGCATATATTTCAATGAAATAACGTATAATCGCGACTAACAATAATGAGCGAGCGTACAAACGTACACGATTCTGCGAGTTTTCAATAGAACATCTCTTGGCGAAGTCACCTTTAGCACGTCGTCTGTAATGCCACGCTGTGTTCACGTGCGATGTGGAAGGAAGTTTTCTGCTTATCCTGAAAAAAAGCTGCACTATCACACGAAGTCGCAGTCACAGGAGTCGGGTGATTGTGGAGGGCGGCGAGTTGGGATATAGGGGGTTCCGCTTTGAAAGGCTTTCTTTGCCCGATCGTGGCGCAGTCTCCAATTAACGCTTTCCGCGCAGTCAAAAGACCCGACGGTGCGCTGAAAAGTGGATTAAAGCGTGCTCCGTTTGCCACCGCCTTTTACAACGTTTACAGACCCGGCTGTATGCAAGTACGCGGGTACATGCATGCACGTGGTGCGCTATGATCCTCGCACTCGTAGTGTGTAAATGGTCTCCAGAATAAAATATACTGCTAAATGAACGCAGAATTCCTGTTATCAATACAAATAAATTCTTTGGATTTTTACGTTCATGCATTTGAATATTCTGATCCAGTCTAGGAATATTTTACTGATCTACGGTGCATATATTTCAATGAAATAACGTATAATCGCGACTAACAATAATGAGCGAGCGTACAAACGTACACGATTCTGCGAGTTTTCAATAGAACATCTCTTGGCGAAGTCACCTTTAGCACGTCGTCTGTAATGCCACGCTGTGTTCACGTGCGATGTGGAAGGAAGTTTTCTGCTTATCCTGAAAAAAAGCTGCACTATCACACGAAGTCGCAGTCACAGGAGTCGGGTGATTGTGGAGGGCGGCGAGTTGGGATATAGGGGGTTCCGCTTTGAAAGGCTTTCTTTGCCCGATCGTGGCGCAGTCTCCAATTAACGCTTTCCGCGCAGTCAAAAGACCCGACGGTGCGCTGAAAAGTGGATTAAAGCGTGCTCCGTTTGCCACCGCCTTTTACAACGTTTACAGACCCGGCTGTATGCAAGTACGCGGGTACATGCATGCACGTGGTGCGCTATGATCCTCGCACTCGCTCCCGATGCCGACACTTTGACCGTCTATATTCTTTCTTTCCTAGCCGACTTTGGTCGGTTTAAACGTGAAAAACCACAGTCCGACTTTAAATAGCGAAGGAGTATGTATGCGTTTCACGCTTTCATCTTAATTAAGGAAACGGTAGGAAATTATTTGCTTTAATTGTGCTTTGTACACCTTACGGTCCGATCGGTTCTTTAATTAATTTTATGCTATTGCACTTTGAAAATTATCAACCTAACTAGGGAACTAATCATTTAAAATATAAGGTTTTTTTTTGTGAAACGTTCTCTTAAGTATCGATTTTCGCTATATTTAAATATTTAATGATTATTATTACCTAAAATACGAAAAACAGATGGTCGAAATTCTTTTCATGAAACTCGATCAACTTGACTTCGCCTAGGCTTGCGACTTTAGGTTGCAAAGGGATGAAAGTAGAAATTGTAGTAGACTACGGACGACGGGGGGATGAGTCAGGAAATAAGAAGATACAGATAGAAGGAGCTGACTGTACGTTGGACTAACAAGGCTCAGGACCAGGGGCTATTATCATAATTGTGGGCTGCAGGCAGCGGCTGTGCCCACAAACCAGAATGGCTCTTGTCTCATCTACCTTTGCGTTTTCTCCTTCTCCTCTCATCCATTCCTCTCCTTCTTCTCTTTATCCTTATTCTCGCCCTCGTCCTTCCTCTTCGGGCCTTTTTATTCAAACCTTCATGCTCTCACATTTTGCGCGTTTCTTTACTGCCCTTTTGCACGTGCTAGAGACAAATGGATCACCCCTTCAAGCATTTAACTTTCACACTCCCCATCTATCTAAACAGATTAATGAATCGCGCGATATTTTACAATAATTGTTTTATCAAGTAGCGTATACAGACTTTCATATAAAATGCTACAGTTATCAGATGTAATAATATATTAGAATACTTAAGGATGTATAGTCTATATACTTAAACAAATTGCTAAAACAATGTTAAGTTTTAAAATAAAGGGACAAAGTATTTGAGAATATTGAAAAACCTATAAATGTATACATATACAATATAGAAGCGTCTATTCACAAACGATAGTAAAATCCGAGAGATGTAATGCTTGCCGACCACCGTTTTCATTCTCTCTCATTCTGTACTTTCCTTGATTGCGTAGCAAGTCTAAGATCCTTTCAAATTCTACATTTTGGCTTTCATTTTAAGGAAAGGCGAAGTAAGAGAAAAAAAATAAAAGGTCAGAGACGTAGTTTCTTTTAAACCAAACATTAGAAACGATATCATACGAAACCTCTTGTATGAACCATCTCTCTCTTCTAATTAATATTTTGTTTCACGCGTATATTTAATAATTGCAATGTGATTACAATGTGCGTGTAATTAGATTGAATCTTCCATGGTCATATAATTTTCCATTGATTGTAAGGAAGAGTTAATTAACGGAACTCGTTGAAAAGGGTCACTTACCGTTAATTCCCTTTCAGTTCACCGAACCAATTATCGATGATAATATTTATATTTTTCGAAAGGGAAATATGAATACCATATTATAATAATGGTAAATTATGAAATCACGGTAAAGCTGATATCCACTATCCGATGCACAAACGACGTGCAATTAGCAATTACGCTTTACCGTTCAACGTTTAACGATTTATCAAGTTTTACTCCAGGCCGAGATCCGAGCTATCAACCTATTTCTCTTCCTTTCCGACGGGCGCAACGTCATTTCGCCGAGGGAATATCGTTTGAAATTACACGGCCGCAATTTCAATAAATATCGGAATCGAGGTTTTGATTGGCCCCTCGTTCCCGTACCGTTTTTCGTCCACGGCCCACCGCGTCGGATTAAAATTTAACGAACGACCGTACGTTTCAGCGAAACGAGCTAACGCGCTCGATTTTCTGTTGAATCTTTCAGTACCTATCATACCTTACGTTGCATCCTTTAAGTGGCGTGGCTAAATTGTTTTCTCTTATTTTCTCCCTTTGTTTTACATTTCTTCCCGTGTGTTCTTTCAACGAGATATGCCACGGGGCGTGTATGTTTGTTTAGCCTCGGTGTACCCTGTTATTAGGGACCGGAGCTCCTCGAAAACCGTAGGGCCCACGCGGATATTTCGGAGCCCCGAGAGACGATCGCGCGCATCCTCCGTCCGCTCCCTTCTCGTTCCTCCCGCAGAAATTCGCGTCGTCCTTGTTCAAGCCCTCTAACAGCGACTCTCCGTCCCTCGTTCCGTCCCTTATTCCACGCGTAAGGCCAGGTCGAGGTGAAAAGGATAGCTGGATAAATTTGAAAGGGGATCTGTTAGCTCACCCCCAGACACACGGCCTCTTTCCTTACCTCTATCCAGATCTTGATTTAGATTCTACCGCATTTTAATTTATTGCTGACGATCGCGCCGATTACAGAAACACCTATTCTTAAACAAACGAGAAAACGATAGTCTTTACCGCTTCCAAACAACCTGCTAACACGGAACATAATATAGTAAACACGTCTTTTGAAACGAAATTCCTTCTAGCCCTTAAATTAATTAATAGCTTCATTAGAGTTCCTCCGTATTTATTAACAAAAGTTTCGTCTCACATTTTATCAAGTAATAAAATATCTACTGATATTTGTCGAGTTCCGGTTATGATTAGTTCTCGAATGAAATTTTCCATTATATGAATCTGAGACCCTACTTTGGGAAAAAAATGTCAATTATAGTTACAGTCAAGGTTCGCCTGCGCGTGAAAGATATATGTATATGCTAGCCCCTTTTTCACGCGATCCTGTTTTCACGTGGCGAATTGTGGGATCTTTGGACTGTCCACTGCACACAATGCGAGCCTGATCACATCCTGCGGATTCCGCAATTGAATGGTGTCTGTTTGCACGGGCGCCACGCGGCAGAGCGTTAGGGATAGGACTCGGACACGCGACCGCACCCTACGCGTTTTTATTTGTTTAATTTAACAGTATTGTGCCACGGTGTTTTCATTAGGGAACGCTCGATTTATTTCATTCGCGTCTGCATTTTTAACGGGGCAGAGAGAAACGATTTCGGTATGGAAATTTATTTGCCCACATACACTCCCTATCGCGATATCGTGTGAAAGTTACTGTGAATTCACGTGACTTTATTTCCCCATATGCTTTCTGTTTACTCTGCTTGTTATATTTTATAGTAAATACTGAATGAAAATCTTCTTGCTATTGTTGATTAATGCGTGTACGAATATTTTCAATATTTTCCATCGATTATCGTATCTTATTTCATCGATCAGGAGTAATGTCCAAGCCGGTATAAAATCGATGATACTGGCATTGTACGATTATCTACTGTCTATCGCGTCGTACTTGTCGTTGCGCCGTTTATAGCCATTTATCGATTTCCTCGGTGCGATTACTACCGAAAAGACTGATTATCGTTTATGTTTTGCGCCCTATTGGGCCCCAACGATTACACTCAGCATCTCCTCGGTGGTATTATCAACTTCTACCTGTTCTTAATCAGGCATCCATTTCCAGGTGCATTGCGGCATCTGATGGAGGGCACCTAAAGCTTCCCCAGCTTCTCAATAAAGAAATTTATAACAAAAAGATCATTATTTATTCATTAACTAGATATACAAGTAGACTTAATCAATTTATTTCTCTGTCACCTGTGTTTGAGACTAATATAATTTTTAAATAAATTGCTGTATCGTTTAATGGAAAATTTAGTCATTTCAATAAATAGCTTTTTATTATCACACATTTTAATACATTTACCACATTATCATACTTATCATTCCATCAATGCATAAATAAATAAATACAATAAACATAATAAAATGTTATCTACTTTAAGATATAATTACATTAAATAAGCATGATTTCAACTGTGAATCACAATTATATTAATTGATCGAAACATTATTAAATAAATAGGAATAATATATACGAGTTTATATACCAGATCTATAACTAAGCGATCACGAATAAACTTGAGCATAATTGATCAGTTGAACGTATGATCTTCAATTACTTACTCGATCTAATTTTTTATATATTACACCGAAATTTTATACAATTTTGTTCAATTGTCTGCTGGACAGTTCTTTTGATCTGTACGAATAAAGTACGCCCTACTTATATTATTCTTGTCTAATATTTGATAGGCTTTCTCCAAAATGGCAACCGGGGGTTTTGGTTCTCTCGCCAGAATCCAAACATTTCTCATACTATAATAGAAATAATATTTAAATAATTATCGTTTGTGATAAAACTAAAGATATAATTTCATCTCCTGACAGAAACAATTTTATTTATTAATTAAATCAGCGATTAAATAATTAAATAATTGACTCAGCGATTAAATATTTTATACGTTTACCTGATCACACCGAAATTGGAGCAACTCCACACGACAGCGTAGGATGTGTAATCGGTATCAACCACCCAATAAGGCGCCTCCATTGGAAGCGGCAAAGTAGGAAACGTGACGATCAATTTCGCATCGTCCGATTTAACAATTGGCTTCCCGATCCCTTCGATGCTTGAAGAAACTCCGGTCCTAAACAAATAAACGTAACGCGCGTTTTGTGAAATCGTTCGTATCAAAAGTAATAATATTAAAAAATATGGGTTACACTTACAAGGAAGATATCTGTTTGTTTAAAATGTTAAGCGCGGAATCATTGCCACTGGTGTAAGTCGCAGTCACGCATTTTCCACCGAATTCGAAGAACGCGAAATACTTCTCCATCTCGTACCACTTCCCCAGATACTAGAAAACAGTGAGACGAGATAGTTAATTTAAGTAATGGACGGCTTTGCTAGAAGCGAATATAAAACGACTTTTGAAAGAAAATTCGACGATTAATGGAGCTCGTTTGAACTTGAATGCTTTACGTATGTGTATGTATGTACATAATATCTCGTTACGTCGGATGTATATCAATGTCTTATTGAGGACAACTTTCTAAGAGCAGGTTGCATTATCGCATAAGTAAGTCAATAACACAGGTATGCGCAAGAAATCCAGTTTCCAATTTCTAGTAAGCATAATAATAACAGCAATCACAATTTGCGTTTGTGGTACGCACCCTTTGCACGTCGAAGTCATGCATTGTTTCCATGGCGGGACACGAGCCCAGAAACGGCACCTGTGCCATCGCTGCACTGGCGATTAGTAAAATTATGCACGTCCGTAACATCTTCTCTCCTGCGAAGAGAATTGTTTAAATTAAATACAATTTGCTATCAATCAAAAGAGATTTTGCAAAACTTCAAAAATATGTCTACTAAAATAAAAGACTTTCATTCTAATCGATAGAGAGCAAAAGTAAATAAGTAGCGCTTAGGATTTATGTCGTGTTTGTTATCAATATGCAACGTGCGCAGTTAGAAATCGGAAATGTTTCCCGCAGAAAGTAATACGAATTCATGCTTGAATCAAACCGCGTTTCAAAAGAACAGTTAACTCTTGGCTTTCGAATTTTTAAAAAGATACCGGCATTTGTATTGCAGATGCAACTTTCATCACTGAATATCATTATACTAAAAGCAAAAATACTGGTACACAGTTTCCACCGAACGCGAAATTATATTTTTTATTGTAATTCAACTGTCGATATTTATGTATTTTTTATACGCATAAAAATTACACATGACACATGTAAAAAGGTAGGAAGTGAGGTAAATCTCTAATATAAATAAAATGCATATTTAGATGAATAATAAAATTTGCAACAATAACGCATGCCGTTGTAAAATGTATTTTTACGGATATACTCAGCTGATTGTCATGCAAAAAGTGGAGCCACTGGCGATCTTTGACCGCGACAGACAAGAAATTATGAGAGTCACGAATCGAACCGATTCGAATGGGGCACGTATACCGAATCGGCGATCATGTCGTACATACTTACATACGCGTTGGATCTCGATGACTTCGTGAAACAGATCTCACGTGGAACAGGGGTCGACAGTGACGCTTCTCGCACGGCGCGTTGCTCGTCAGCGACTGGACTTCCAGTTCTTTGCACCTTCCGCTTACTTACGCGAAGCCCGACTGCTGGATGCGTTCCGAAGATTTCTGTCAGTTAGTGGGTCACTAACGGTACGACCGAGGTTCAAGAAACCCAGTCCTCGAATTTACCATTGCCATTTGTCTCTGTTAACCGATTTACTTTTCAAATCTAATTTCGATCAAGCGAAACGTCTAATGAAAGCGGGTTTTTAAACGTTTTACTTGCAATTAGTATAAGTGTTCTGTCGTTCGCCTGCAGTGACAAGATGTATAGCCAAGGTTTTTTAAATTAATGATATGCAACATCGTTTAACATATTTTATTGTGCACGTACGGAGGATACAAGTACGGAACAAATATGTTCGTACGTTAAAAAGACACGATATGTTACGCATGTACTTCTATTATCTGTTTCCGCTATTATGTTATCGGTTTACTGCTGTTCTGGGAGGTATATTTTATCACCTCTCGATATACGATGTGTTAACAATATGTTAACTAATTCTTACTTCTGACACTTAGTAATGAGGAGAAGAATAATACAGTAAACAAAAAAGTAATATCAAGTATAATTAAGTGTCATTACTTGCATTTTTTCTTTACTACGATAATAAAGAGAATTATACTTCTAAATATTATTTTTAAATATTAGGCTTTCATAATTGCCATGTTATTACTGAATATTAAGATTGTTCCATACAGCTTCTGGTACTACGATTTAATTTATAAAAATGTATCCACGTGTTATGTGAGAGCAGTTAATAAATTTATTAGGAATAGTAAACACAAATAGTTTTCATGGCAACATTTTATGTAACAATTTATTCAGTTTCTTTTTTTTTTTTACATTTGTACATAATTTAAACACCCATTTATCCCTCCGCGAGCCATCGAAGCGATAATCCTTGCCCTAGCACGATGAACGATAAGCATGAAATTCAGGCGAGACTGGTTTCGACAATAAAACCGCTACAAGCCCAAAACTGAACTTAATGTATAAATGTTAACTGAGCGAAATGTTGGACGAGATAAAATTTAATTTTTTTTCAAATTCCCTTTTCATACAGTCTTTTCTTTTTGTTTGACGATGTCAGCTTTCTCTTTCATAGCCTCGATCGGTTTCTCTTCCTTTATCATCGCGTCGTTCATCGGCGCTTCTTCCTTCATCGCATCCGCTATTTCCATGATTCGTTCGGGAACAGTATTAATTGGTTTCTTCTTCGCGGATTGAGAGCTCTTCTTTTCTTCATCTTTTGCATTCTGCATCTCGACGATCACTTCTGGTGCATCGGGTGCAGCGGCGGTTCTTACGTGATTTTCACTATTCTCTTGCACTTCTGCGGTCTCTTTTTCGGGTTCAGCTGCTGCTGCTGCTGCTGCTGCTGCTGGTTTAGCCCGGATCTCTAATAAAGCGCAGTCCTCCTGGTTCGTTTTGACGAAGAACGTTTTCGAAATCTTGTACTTGTCCAGAACACCGTATGCCTATTCGGAAGAAATAAACGTATTGATTTAATTGCATTCAATTTTTAAACGGCAGTTAACTTAATCAGTTATGTCAATGTTTGAACTCTGAGCCATCAGTCTCTGTAAACTTGTTTCAATGCACATGCAATTCGAATGCTAATTAGAAGTTCAGCGCAAATGATGAGATAAAACAAGATTTTTGAATTAAATAAAAGAGGATTTGTGATGTAAATGTCGATTACCTTTTGTATGACTGTTCCCGGAGCTAATCTGTCTCTTGTCATGACCCAGGCGTTTTGCGTGTGGAATGGACCAATACCGGAACAGCTCCACAAAACTGCGTAGGTATCGTAGTCCGTTTCGAGTACCGAGTACTTAGTCTCAGGAGTCAGCGGTATCGTGTATTTTACAATCAATTTCCCCTCTTCAGCTTTCGACGCGGACTTCTTAATTTCACCCTCGAGGACTCTCTTAATTCCGGTGCTAAATGTTCATACAATATTAGATAATTTTCAAGCCTTTTTAAATCCGACTTAATCAAATTTTGATTAA